GTTATGAAGATAAATACGAAATGTTTGATGGGCCTCCGCCTCCGTTTTCGGAATCATTGGACGTGCGTTTCGCCTGTGCATCAGCTAACGGTGTCCCGTCTAGCGGGTCTTCTCCAAATGCTGAGAATAACAACAGTAAAGCACATTGGATTTTATTTTCGATGTTTTGGCCGCGGTTTCTTGTTCAACGACCGAAAAATGGCGCCAAATGCTATTTTATTTTAGAATTGAAAACTGTAGTCAATTCTCTTTTTTGTGATAGATGTTGTTTGGTCATTACTTGGTATAAGAGTTACAAAGATGATATTAGCATTTCTTAATATCTTGATAATTCTTAAACTGTCAAACACCGCGCGGTCACCGGTGACTGCAACCTATTGTTCCTTAATTGTGTCTATAATGACGGTATTCAACGAGTTAAAAGCCAAATAATATTCAGTTTAGTTCTTATCGAAGAGTCACAGTGCACATCTGATGTCCTTATTTAACAATTCATTCATGTGAAACAATTCTGACCTCTTTTCTTTCGGTATATTATTTTTAAAGTATTATGAACTTTAAAAATAATACGGTTTGAGTCCTTTTTAGTTTCTTCAAATGGATGTTTCAAACCTTATCTACAAAACTAGGCTCTTACATTACATTACTACAAAAACAAATGCAATTACAAGCCGCCTCCAAGACTATGAAGTAAAAGACAATCAAAAAGTTTGCCCAATTTCAAATTATACACAACAGTCAGTGGTTGCTCACAACCAATTATAATGGACCCAAGGCCACATGGCGCAACCACGCGTGAGACAGTTTTTATTAGTGTGGTTACCGCTGTTCTTTACATTTTCTTATCATTAAACTAGCTTTCTGCCCGCGGCTTTGTCTATGTGGTGACTTTTTTTTTTAACGTTGCCCCACATTAAGATTATCTCCTGTGTCGTGGGTGCGTTTACAAACATACAAGTTCACGTACACAATGACACCCAGACCCGAAACAACAATTTGTGGATCACACAAAGTGTTGTTCCGTGCGGGAATCGAACCCGCGACACGTTGCACGGCAGCCGGTTGCCCAGCCACCGCACCAACTGTGCAGTCGAATTATTTTCAAGAAGAACAGAAATCAGTAGGTGACGGTCAAAATTAATAAATAAATATCGCGTTTTAGTGTAAGATCTCCTGTTTTTGTCAAGGATCGATTGGGAGATTTCAGATTAAAATCATTTACAAATTTTGGCTCTAGTGAAGTCAGAAAATGGTCTAATTTAAGCCGTTATTTCTCCCAAACATTATGCTCTTAAATTGTGACAGAATTTAAGTCCAGTACCTTCGTAGCTTATTCTAAACAGACAAACCATCAAATCTTTCCATTATTAGTATAGATTAAATACTATTTGTACTCAGCAATGTAATGCAAACAATCTTTGTTTTAATGAGAAATGAAGGTAAAGATGTGATAATGATGGGCTGACCTCCTTTATAGTCATAAAATGGCTGTTGCTTTTTGCGTAGATTAATTTAAAATGGGTCTTAAACTATAATTTTAGTGATTACACTTGAAATGTAATGTTCTTTGAATGAAATAGTAATAAATTAGTTATTTATTTATTTATCTTTATATCACACATCACACAGGTAAGTATTTTATAATCTAAGTCCCACAAAACCGGTGCAATGGTTTGACTGCGGGGTCGAGTCGCCAGACATTACAATTAAATGTACTTATATTTAAATGTTATACAGGCGTTGAAACTTACCTATACTTACTTATTATTAGGACATTTCTAAATAATGTATCAATTGTACCAAGTCGTAATTGTAAGTTGTGTGACGGTAGGGTAATGCACATTTATCACTGTCTCTGCTCTTCTGAGGAGTTTCGGGTTAGATTCCTGAGTCGAGCAATATATTAAGTAAGTTTTTGTAAAAAAAGTCTCAGTAGTAGCACGGAGTCTGGAATTGTGCCCGGTATATGGCAATAGGCTCAACCTATTACATGGGACTCATAACATAAATAGTGAAAAGTGCAAGTTACATTGTACAGTGGCAATAAGTGCCGTAATGTGCATCTCTGCCTATCCCTCCGGGGATAAAAGGCGTGATGTTATGTTATGTTATGCTCTGCTCTTCCGTATTTGCCCTAAAGCCAATTAGAAGAGACACAAAGAGACATTTATTTATTTAAGGGACTCAGCGTTTCTACAATCAATTTAAGTGCCTACTATTTCTTATTTTACCTATACTAGAGGTATAATAATATTATAAAGCTGAAGAGTTTGTTTTTTTGTTTGTTTGTTTGAACGCGCTAATCTCCGAAACTACTGGTCCGATTTGAAAAATTATTTCAGTGTTGGATAGCCCATTTATCGAGGAAGGCTATAGGCTACAAAATATCACGCTACGATTAATAAGCGCCGAGCAGAGCGAGTGAAACCGCGCGAAAGTAGCTAGTTACTAACATTATGAAATCTTATTATTTTACAAAGAAAAACAGGCAATTGCTTTTCATATCTCTGCGCCATAGAATTCTTCATATTATGTGAGTGTAAGGTGTGTAGAATTTAGCGGTTCACAGACGATAATTTGTTGGCAAGGTTAAGATTAGGTGTTACTTTGTTATGAAACAACTGCTCAATGCCCTTTTGTGTTTAATTTTTGACACTAGTTTTGTAACAAAGAGTATTATTATAAAGGTTTTTTTATGCAATAAGCTGGTTTTTTTTTTTTATCTCCCTAATTTTACTATTTTAGGGGGTTTTTATCCATATGGATACGTCAACCCCATCATACCTTATGTAATTAAATATACTCTATAAATGAAAGGGAATCATTAACAAGGTATGACCTAAATAAAAGAAAAGTTATGTCACTCTTACCAGTTCACACAATCCCTTTGCAATCTTGGTTTTAGGATTTGCTAAAATGTTTTGAACTAGTCCAACATCTAATTTATTCAACTTATATTTTCTTATTAATGATTCCCTTTCATTATTGTTCCTGGCACATTCCATTAGCAAATGTTGTACGTCCTCTACTTTGTTGCATAATAATAAGCCGGTAAACGAGCAGTCGGACACCTGGAACACCAGAGGAGTTACAAGTGCGTTACCGGCCTTTTGAGGATTAGGAGTTTGAGGATCGTTGGGGATTCAGGGATTGGGGAGATTGGGGAAGGAGACTCCGGTAACCTCACTCACACGAAGAAACGCAACGCAAGCGTTGCTTCACGTCGGTTTTCTGTGAGGCCGTGGTTTTTTTTTATGAGATAAGCCGGTAAACGAGCAGACGGGTCACCTGATTATGAAATCCAATAGGCGTTGCTTACCATCAGGTGATCCGTTGGTCGGAAGTAGTCAGGAGTAGGAACGCTGTGGTGTTTAATCATTAAGAGTCTGACAATGTCTTTCTCGCCACACATGAAGAAAAGCCAATGAATGATTTTCCATTATATCATATGTCACGCCTTTTATCCTCGTAGAGGTAGAGGTACATTACGGCACTTAATGCCACTGTACAATGTAACACCCACTTTTCACAATTTATGTTATGAATTCCATGTAATAGGGGGTGAGCCTATTGCCATATTGGCACAATTCCAGACTCTGTGCTACAACTGAGATTTTTTTTAAATCCATTATTACTTTGCCTGACCCAGGAATCGAACCCGAGACTCCTTGCTCAGCAGTCGCACTTGCGACCACTCGGCCAACGAGGCAGTATGATTTCCCCCTTCTCAAAAAAAGGTTTTATCAAAGAGCATTATTATTGCCTTTTTGTCCAATTCAAAATAAAAACCTTATTTGATGCTTTTTTTTAAGGGGGGAAAATCATCGAATGACTGCTCCCGCCTGGGTGAGGCCGAAGGGAGTGTCAGACTCTTACTGACTAAAAACCACCCCGTTCCTTCTCCTGCACGTCGAGCCGGAGCCCCGGTTACCCGTTAAGTTCTCCACGACTTATTTGATGCTTACGACATTCATTTAGAAGAGAAGAGACGAATAACAGAAGAATAACGATTGCTTATTTACGCAGTTACCTTAAAATCAGTGGAATCTTTGGTTTGTCTAACTTCATATTCGATTACAGAATACTAATGCTACACATGGGTAGAATGCCAAAATCGCGCTCTGTCTAAACAGGTCAATCTCGTTCATAATGGAACCTGTCTCGAATGTTAATATATGGAATGTTTGAAGTTATTATATAGTGTTTTGGTGTGTTATGTAATATGCTAATGGTGTCTAAATACTTGTCTGCGTGGCCTATTTGTTTAGAGCACTAAAATATTTTTGTTGTAGGTACTATAATTAAAAATTGCTTTGGCTTTGCACTTATTATACAAGTAATACAGCTTAACATTCAAACGAAACAGAAACACAAACAATGGAATGTGTCCTCTTATTACAATTCAGAGCAAGTATTCAAGTCTTGACTTAGAATTATTACATACGTTATATGTCCCGTTGTCTGTTTGTGCAAAAATGTAAGAAAATCATTTATTTTCTGGTGGAATCCTTAAATGTTTGTTTTATTGCCAAATTGTTTTATTGCCTTGTGCAACACATCAAAATTCGAGGTCAAGTAGCTACAAGTGCAACGGTCAAAGGAAAATATTTGAAATTCGAAAATTCTGTCGATTCAACAAGACTCTAAAATTGGTTACTCTGTTATGTATTTGAGATCTGTGGACAATAGTTACTGGCCAGATGTAATGCGCGGGAATGTTTCATTTTGTCTATGCGTAATTTATTGTTAAAAAAATGTGCTAATGACTGTTATTGTAAAAACACGATCCCGTAATTTTACACAACAAACTCTGTAACTATAATTAAAAATAATAAAATAGTACATCACTGAATTAACAAATGTTTACTAAGATTTAGTAAATTACCTACCTATAACTTTTCAAACAGGTATATTCTTTAATTGAAATTGATATTAATATTTTTTTAAATTTATCTTTTCTCCTTGTTACAGTACTCCAACAATGACATAAGCCCTACAAGATGGCGCTACGGTTAAAAAAAGATATCAAGAAGGCCTCCTACTACGTGTGGTTCCTCGGTGCGCAAGAGTCGCGCGGCCTCAGAGGGGAGGAGTTTGCACTCCCTGCCATTCGGATACTGGAAGACAGAGCGAGGGACTTAGAGCCATTTAAAGTTACGCTACAGGTTGGTACATTATTTATAAACGAATGGAGTTTCTTGCTCGTTCTTCTCCATTTGAATCTACTTTGTGGAATGAGCACCTAGCTTCACCTAGTTTCACTTACGAACTGACTGACAGACTATTATTTATTTTGTATTTGTTGACGTTTCAAAAGTATCTACCAAACTATGGTTTAATTGAAATAAATGCTTTGACTTTGACTTTGACTTTGAAAACTTGTAAATTTCGGCCTCGTTGGCCGAGTGGTCGCAAGTGCGACTGCCGGGCAAGGGGTCTCAGGTTCGATTCCCGGTTCGGGCAAAGTATTACTGGGTTTTTAAAAATCTCAGTAGTATCACGGAGTCTGGAAACGTGCCCGGTATATGGCAATAGGTTCACCCCCTATTACATGGGACTCTTAACATAAATAGTGAAAAGTGGGTGTTACAATGTGCAGTGGCATTAAGTGCCGAAATGTGCACCTCTGCCTACCCCTTCGGGGATCAAAAGGCGTGATGTTATGTTATGTTTAAATTTTGGGTTTAGCAAAAAATTCTCTTGATTTTTACAATAATGACGTAGCTTCTTATATCTATGCTCTGCTGCCATTAATGTGTGTGTTATTTTTTTTAAACATTGCACGCAGTTCCAAACTTATTTACTCTTGAAATTTCTAAAAGGCAAAAAAACAGAAATAGTTAGATCTGCAAAGAATCCATGTTTTTCCTAAGAATTTACTTATTGAAAACAAAACCATATCGTTGTTAACCATATCATAATATCATGTTTAGAAAACCCGGGACCTCGTCCTCAGCTTGCATCCATTAGTGACAGCGACGTTGTCGAGGCAATTCTCACGAATGTACAAGAATTTCGTCACTTTTGGGTGTGTTTGCTGCCTTAAGGAAAATAATAAGTTTTATAGTAGAGGGCACTCCTTGTTGTTGACACAGATATCTGCGGATACAGATATTATTACTTATGTATATTTTTACGTACATTTTAAGGTTCTTTCGCACGGTTGAAACTTTTAAGGGATATGAGAAAAATATTATAAATACTAAAACAGATACAAATGATTTAGTTATTAAAACCACAACTTCAATTTTCATTATTGAATATATTTCAGTCAAATAACCAAACCATACTTATGAACTGATGCCCACCAAACTAAATGAGAGCCAACCTTTACATACAGCCGCGGATAACCTAACGGGTAACCGGGGCTCCGGCTCGACGTGCAGGAGAAGGAACGGGCTGGTTTTTAGTCAGTAAGAGTCTGACACTCCCTCCCGCCTCACCCAGGCGGGAGCAGTCATTCGATGATTTTCCCCCCTTAAAAAAACCTTTAGATACAAACAACAAAAACACCATCAATTTATCTATGACAGCAAAAATTCCAACATAGAATTTTAGTTCCTAATCAATTACAATCAAATGTCAATTTGGAATGAATGGAATTCCAATCCAACGTCTTCACTTGCAAACTATGAGTAATACTTATTCTTATTGGGGAAAGTAGAGGCATCGTTCTAATTGATTGCGTTATTCTTCACGTTACGTAAAACTGTGTAAGTTTTCTTAGTTTATTATAGTTATGAAGGTATATTGTTGAATAGTTCAGATGCGAAGAAGGTGATAAAGATGTATTATTTAATAGCTTATTTAAAGGTGATCGAAGTTATAGACGTTTGTATAAAATATACCATATTCCATAATTATCTACACAATATAGACGGACTTAAGCATCAGTTGTTATTTTAACCCCTTGAGTACCGTCATTATAGACACAATTATAGAACAATAGGTGTGCGGACACCGGTGTCCTCGCGGTGTTTGACAGTTGCTAGATTCTTTTAGCTAATATTTTCAATTTTTTATTCGGAAACGTCCGCCTCCTCCGCCTCCTCCACCTCCTAAAACCGTTGAAACTTCTGTAAACCAGGGTCTACAATAAAATTAATCATTAGCTACCTGAACTCATTTCATCTGCTTCCTGAGGAGTTTAGAGAAACCTATTTAATTTCCCAATCTCACCTATTCTTACACCCTCTTTATTAAAAACATAACATCACGCCTTTTATCCCCGAAGGAGTAGGCAGAGGTGCACATTATGCCACTGTACAATGTAACACCAACTTTTCACTATTTAAACTGTCAAACACCGAGCGGTCACCGGTAACCGCAACCTATTGTTCTTTAATTGTGTATAAAATGACGGTACTCAACGAGTTAAATTATGAGTCTCATGTAATGGGGGGTGAGCCTATTGTCATATACTTTTATTTATTTATTTATTTATTATATACCGGGTACAATTCCAGTCATTTCATTGAAAAATCAACTACAATTGTCGTATTCTCTTTCCCAGGTATCCCACAAAGGTCTGAAGATAATTCAGAATGTCACAGCCAAGGGTAAACAGCAGACGATCAAGCACTTTATACCGCACGGCAGCATCACCAGCGCTGTAGTACAGGCCGATGTGGTGGCCTGTGTGTTGTTGCTGTACAACCCACTGACTGGCTGCCCTGTACATGTCCATGCTTACAGGTATGTGAACGACTTTATTGTTTAAACTAAACTTCTATTGTGTATGTGTATTGTAGTCAAAAATGTCTAAATTGATGTGGTGTTTGATGTCTCTGTGTGTCGTTTTAACGGACTTAGCAAAAAGTAGGAGAATCTTTTTTTTCTTTGCATTCAAGATTTCTAGTCACTTTATTTGACTAATTTTTTTAAGCCTTGCCCCACACTAGGTTTTTTTTCTGTGTCGTGAGTGCATTTACAAACATATAAGTTTACATACACATGACAGAAACGAAACAATAATTTGCGGATCACACAAAGAATTGTTCCGTGTCGGAATCGTACCCGCTACTAATTAAAAACGTAACAGTAACAATTCTAAGTACCTAAACTTTGTAATTGGGTACTTATCAACTAGTCAAATTCAATACTTTTTTCGAACTGTCAAAAACAACAGTTTTCTATGGATTTTGTACGAGATTGTGTATTGTGACGTCACGAAATCGAAATAATTTATTTTTACTAGCGACCCAGCCCGACTTCGCACGGGTGCAATAAGCTTGTATTAAACATATAAAACTTCCTTAAGAATCACTCTATATTAAAAAAACTACATCAAAATCCGTTGCGTTGTTTTAAAGATCTAAGCATACATAGGGACAGACAGACGGCGGATAGCGACTTTGTTTTATAATATGTAGTGATTAACGAAAGTATCCAATAGTAAATAGAAGTTTGAATTACCCATCAAACACTAGGTTATAACAGTCTCACTGTGAGCTGCGCGAAGTCGCCGCGACGGCGCACGCTGCTCATGAGGAAGAACCCCTCTGTGGTTCGAAACTAGTAGAGCTTTTCTCAGTATATTCACGTGAGTAACCCGCGATTTTACTTAATTTAGTATGTCTCACGATAGTTATTATAAAATATGCTACACGACAAATAATAAAATCGCTACAATAATGTTATACAAAAAGTATCATCTTCACTTACACTCAGACCCGTTGAAATAATCTCGAAATGAGCAGGAAACGAATGACATTTAGCACATTATTGTAAGGTCACATCTTAATGTCAAGACCTCACGATGTTCTAGCCTAACTGGTTTCTAACCACTGAGCAAATGTTCGCTAGGTATGTTCACTATGTTGTATTGTACACTCTTATTCATAGATGCTGTTTTGTTTATTAATTGTTATATATTTTCTTATGACTTTTTATACTCGATATATGAATGGGCCGGCTCGACCGAAGTGATACCATGGCCTCACAGAAAACCGACGTGAAATCATCAGTGAGTTCATCGTGTGAGTGAGGTTACCGGAGGCCCAATTACCCCCTCCCTAGTCCCCGTCTCCCGAATCCCCGAATCCTTCACAATCCTCAAATTCCCAATTCCTAAAAGGCCGGTAACGCACTTGTAACGCCTTGGTGTTGCGCCGATTGCTTACCATCAGGTGATCCGTCTGCTCGTTTACCGGCTTAAGCTATAGAAAAAAAATACTGTGTCGATGGCCGAGTGGATGGAGAGTGGTGATAGGGTCTCGGGCTCGTGTCGGGCAAAGTATTACTGGGTTTTAAAAAAATCCCAGTAGTAGCACGGAATCTAGAAATGTGCTCGGTATATGGCAATAGGCTCACCCCCTATTACATGGGACTCATAACATAGAGGTAAATAATGAAAAGTGGGTGTTACATTAAGTGTGGGCATTAAGTGCCGTATAAATGTCATAATGTGCTCCTCTGCCTACCCCTTCGGGGATACATACATAATATTACGTATATGCTATTAACCTACACATATATCGTTCTATTGTTTCTCTAACACAAGGCAAGTTATCAGCTAATCGTTGCATATCAGTAGCAGAACAGAATTCAATTTACTTTTACATCACTTTTAGACGTTAACCTGTATTCTTATCATAATAGGTCTATTCGGAGGTCAGTAGAACTCTTACTTAGTAGTGTCTAAAACAATAATTAAAGAATGGAAGGTGAGTGAACCTAATTTCACGGACGGACTGACTGATAGACTATTATCATCATATATAGACATAGTATTTGTTGACGTTTCAAAAGTACCAAACTATGGTTTAATTGAAATAAATGCTTTGACTTTGACTTTGGTGCCAACATGGATATCGAACTAAAAAACACCTGGTTGATAGTCGCGCTAAGTCTACACATCTTCACTACATAGTATAAAACAAAGTCGCTATCCGCTAGTCTGTCCCTATGTATGCTTAGATCTTTAAAACTACGCAACGGATTTAGATGCGATTTTTTTAACAGATAGAGTGATTCTTAAGGATGCTTTACTATATGTATTATACATGCATATTGCACTCGTGTGAAGTGGTATGCCCTATATCTTTTAAAAACACTTTTATGAAAATAAAAATAGTTTTGATAATAAAGGCTATATTTGCCCAAACCATCGAAATACATTCTCTTGTACATAAAGCATTACAAACCTATTAAACTCATCTATATATATATAAAAAAATTAACCCCTTTTCCTCTTGGTCACGGCATCACGCGTGAATGGGTGGACCGATTTCACTAATTCTTTTTTTGTTGTATTTATTTTTATTAGGAGAAGGTTCTTAAGACAGAAAAAATCCTGAAAATCCTACGGGAACGGGACAAAACGGGATTGCGCATACGAAGTCGCGGGCAGAAGCTTGTACAATATAAAATCTAAACATTAAATAAACATTTACTTCCCAACAATACCTGACACAAAGGGCCATCTTCACCTGACATCTGACATTTAGTTTCGCAACTACCGCCATCTATGCGCAATCCCCGCAAACTGAGCGGCCATTATTCATGTTACCAACATTACAACAATATCTAAAGGTTCTCAGGAAAATATTAATTATTATTATTTGTTGTTGTTGTATTTTAACACTAGAAAGGCTGCCGTCCCAATTTTGTCCCAATTGCAAGTTTGGTTGTTTATATCTTTTGTATTTATAAAGTTAGGTGCGTGAAACTTTTTGACTATTATTTATTGTATTTTAAAAAATGTTATAGGTTTTAGTTGGAAAAAAAATATTAAAAAAATAAAATAATAATAATTTACCTAGAACCTAGCGGCTGGGTCATTTTGATTCTCGGCCTGTGTTAATGGAAATTCGCAATAAAGGTTTGGAGAGATATTTCTCATTGTTTTTGAATGGGAGGAATAAGTAGGTACCTTATTAGTGTAATCGTTGTACTGATTCGTTGTTGGTAATTTGTGTATTTGCTTAAATTGGGTATCTAATGTAAGACATTTGATTATGTGAATTTAATGTATGAAATAATGTAACGTCCCTTGTACCTAACTATTCTAAATACCACATGTAATTGTAATATTTGCAAATAAACAATCTTTATCTTTGAAGATTCGTAAAATATTCACATGTTTTTCTTATGTATTTTAATTCAACAAAAGGGCAACGCTTGCTATAGGACAATGCTTCCACCCAGTGTAGCTCCTACAATGTGTGTTTTAATAACATAAAACCATGGATACACTAGAAGACAAATTTTCCCTATGGACCTCCTCTATATATGACGATCTAAGATTAAACTAAGCAACAATTTAAAACCAAATCCTTCAAAATACCGCTTCCATTACACGCACAAATCCACCACTTTAAAGATTTCCATTTTAATGTGGCAACGGCTGACATATCACGTTTGTGCGCCAGCGCATCTAGAGGTCAAAGCGACATCTAGCGGCGCTCGCCGAGAATTCGTTACGAGACCCACTTTTGTAGTTTATGGATATTCAAGTTTGACTAGAAAGAAATTTATAAGGGTAATTCAACTTTAAGTGGTGGTAATGAGAGTTCAAAGTCAATAAATTGTAGTATTATTATTATTTACCATTAAAATCAGTGTTTGTAAACTCAAGGATCATGACCATTTTGATGCATCAAATATCATGAAAATCAATCCAGTAGTACTTATATAAGTTACGTTATATGCCGTACCACTTCTAGATTTTTATTTATTTATTTAATGCTAACAACTACCATTACAGACTAATTCAATACGATAGTGTGGCCGTCACTCTTACAAATACTTACAATATATTTCAGTATTTACTTATTATCTAAATATATAAAATTTTTATTTATGACTTATACTAACCTAGATAAGGTACAATAATTCGGATAAAAACAATAAAGTTCCCTATTAAAATATAACTGTTTAACTGCCTCGTTGGCCGAGTGGTCGCAAGTGCGACTGCCGGGCAAGGGATCTCAGGCTCGATTCCCGGGTCGGGCAAAGTATTACTGGGTTTATAAAAAATTATCAGTAGTAGCACGGAGTTTGGAATTGTGCGTGGTATATGGCAATGGGCTCACCCCCTTTTACATGGGACTGGTAACTTAAATAGTGAAAAGTGGGTGGTACATCGTACAGTGGCATAATGTGCACCTCTGCCTATCCCTTTGGGGATAAAAGGCCTGATGTTATGTTATGTTTAAGTTAAATATTTAAAACTACAAGTAACTATTTATATGTACAATTGTTTTTAATTAAAACCAACGACATTTACTTAAAGACAATATACCTTTCACAACTATTATAGATTTACTAATCATTTCATATTCTATCATTCAACAATCCTAGATTATAAAAACAAAACAACGCTTAAAATAATTGAAAACATCCTGTACCAATATTAAAATATTTTTAAACCTAACGAAAGCATTAGTTATCGCGATATATTTACGACTATAATCTAAACAGGTGGTCATCACAATCTAAGCTAAGATTGCGCATTAAGAGCCGGCTCTAATAAGTGCAAAAAGGTTCTAAACTGGTAATAACTGGAACCTAGGGCTGTTCTTTTTATATTTTTAACCCAAGACGTTAAAATAAGACGAACGTAAAGTCATTTAGAAATGATTGGATCATAAAAATGTTGGTCCGTATTACAAACTACTTATAAAATATTGGATTTGTTAAAATTAAAACAAATTTCTTTCTGCAACGATCTGTATGCTCTAATGAACGACAAC